TCTGTCTTCGTTTCTTCAGGAATCGCTAAAAGGTCCCCAGCATCTCGATCATGCTAGGTATCGATTCTTGCACAGAACAACAGAAGATGACAGGAGATTGAAGTCGATACGATTGAACGAGTGGGTTGAGTTGTGCTGACAGATGGCGGTACGGCGAACTCTGCAAGCTGCTCGATGGCTACAGATGTTCCTCTGGACTTCTTCTGTGCCTTTCTTTTCTTTTTCCTTCTTCATTCTTGCTTCTTCTTTCCTTCTTAGTTTCTTTATTATTTCCTCTATTCTCCATTTATTTATTTTGTTCTTTGCGTTTAAAATCTTTTCGCTCTTCTCTGTATTTTTCCTACTACTTTCAACTGACTGTCAGTTTTCACAGAATATTCCTCACTTCCCCCAAGCAAGAACCTAGACATTTCCTTCCAAATTAGCTCCATTAACATTTCCGGAACGTTGCATTTCTTGTTTTCTTTTGTAGTTTATTTAAAGGAGCTGTTGGTTGCTCAGGTTGTGGGCTACATCGCTGATGACAGGATGATCAGTGAATTGGAAAGAATGCGGCAGGAAGTGGCCGTGACCTGACTCAAGGTGTTATCGTGGTATATGACTGGAGATACTGAAGAAAACTACAAAAAAAACTCTATCAGTATAGCCGGCCTCCACGCCGAGACATGAACCAAGGATTTTCCCGAATACGAGACAGAAGTGTCAACTTCTCGACTGTTACATTCAGTACATTTCTTGTTTAGAGATTGGCATAAAAGCATGTTTAAGCATTAACACGTGGTATGTTTATAAGAATTTTAATGCGATAGGCGTCTATTTATAATTACATTTACTGAGGAACTTTGAATAGTAGTGTGTACGAAGCTACAGACATCTCTTGTTCGAACCTTCCCAGGTAGATCAGTGGCACACCTTAAGTGCATCCCACGCGGTCCCAGGCTGCACCACATCCAAGATAAAATCCCCTTTCATTCAGGAGTTAAAAAAAGGGCCTAGAACTTAACAATGAACGTCTTTGTGCTTCGCACTATTTTCTCACTGCCTTCTTCTCAAACTCCCCCTCACCGCCATCAGCGACTCCCGGCCAAGTGTTCCGCTTCCGGTACGTATGTGAAAAACTTCACCAGGTCAGGGGTCAACTGCGCATTCTTCACTTCCGATCGCAGCCAGTGTCCTCCCCCCCCCCCCCCCCCGCAAGATGACAGCAGATAAACATCTATTGTTGCTCCAGCATCCTTTGTTTCCACAAGATGACCTTAAAATTTGATGATAGAGATAGTAAATACGTTCTGGTGTGCAGGCAAAGTTTCGGTAAGACGTGTAGGGGAATGCAGGGTAAGCTGTCTGTCGGCTTGATGGTGTGTGTAACAGATAAACTTCGTGAACTAGCTGCTGTACTATCGGGGAGAGATCCCCCAGTAACTGTTAGATGCGAGGCTGAGGGCTGAATGGGCAGTTTCGACGTAGTGACGAAGAGAAAAACACTGCCCCTTTTGGGAATTGAACTCCTGTCGTCCAGACCGAAGACAGTGTATCTTATTTGCATAAAAGTTAATGCCAGCCTTTTTTTTAAAATTGCGTAAATAGCTTATGTATTGACTTATCCGTGCTGGTGGTCGTAGGAGGAATTAGGTTATTCTAAGTAGGAACTTTGTGATTTAAGCACGTCACCTGGAAGCTAGAGGGTTAGGCTGGCCGGGTGTGTAACCCTAATTCTAATGAGGGAGACAGTGCGTAAGGAATTTTTGTATGAATACTTACTATTCGTTATTAATGATCGTCGTTCAATTACATTCGACGGTGTTGAATCGATTAGTTGTCACGTATCAGAATCTAGTTGTGTTTTAAAGTATTTTGTGATTTGTAAAATGTGTTGTTGCGAAGTCTGTCCGTACCTGAGCAAGAACCTCCCGGTAACAACCCGTCGCGTGCTATGTATCAAAGAACAATAATTTGGTGGGAAGGAATAAAAGTCCTGATCCTCAGGACCTCCTTCAGGACTGAAGACTAAGGATTATAAATGATAACAATAGCAACAAAAAATACCCAAGTACAATAGTCCTCTGAGCGCTTAACATCTGGAGCAAACTTATTTTTTTTACTGTCCTACACAATAACATCAGTTTGTCTTCGTTTCCCTACTATTCGGCCCCAAAACATCATTCCAGCTTAGCCTGTGTAGGAATATATTAATTATATTTATAATAAATTAACGTCAAGACCATCGAGAAAAGAATATTTGCGAGTAAAATATTTTTATTTGTTAATTTTATATTTTAATCTGCGTAGTTTATGGGTGTGTAGATTATGTTAAGTGAATCATTTGATGGGTTGCCGGTGGAGGAGGATGCCTGCCGATATTGAATAATCAGTCGCGGACAACCGAGAGGGGGTGGTATTCAAGTTTGGGGTTGGGCAGCCGTGAAAACCTCAAATTTTTACTATAACGAACCTTCGGTCTCTGTAGGAGGCTGTGAATTTCTTGGTCAGCTGAGCAACTGCTAGGTTCACATTGAAATGTGATTATTGTGGACGATGAATTGCAAAGGACGTGGTAGGCGGCGGTCGTGGCTTGTTTTATGCTTGTATCCCAGAGGAACATCCTTTCCACAGAATCTCTGAGCTAGGATAGCCAGTCTCCAGGTCGGGGTTGAGAACGTGACCCCAAGAATACGAAGCCCACGTGATGATTTGACCAAACACACGCAGAATTTGTATACAGCTCGTTGTGACGTCACAGAACACTGTACCTCAGGGAAAAGATTTGAAGTCTGAGTTTAGAAATATATTCGCACATTGGCTGATGAACCAAGACTATGGTAACTTCAGAATTGATCTTACCTTCACGTCCCCAGGGATTGGATAGGGGAGCATATCAAACAGATACCGAGGCTCACGAACAAGCTGCTGGTTGCTTAGGTCGGTGTGGGGTGGGGCTTCCTGGTCTAGATAAGGCAGACCTTGTGTACGTGCGCAATAGAGATGATCAGTGTCTCACTACAGGGTGGTTCACAAAGTAGATGTCATCACAGTCTAAGAGAGAGGATGTAGCACAAGGGTGAACGTATGGTGGATGTAAGAAATGCGAACAGAATTTTTTATCAGGTTTTGTGAATGGAATATACTACTTGGCAGACCTAGGAAAAGATGGGGGTAATAAGAAAATCAGAACCCTGATGATGGGGACAGAGATGGTCCCTGAAACGTCGGTTTCATCTTTTAACCATCTGACGCGGCCGATCACCAGAGGAAATAATATTAACGAAATGGTTCTTAAAGAGGAATAAAAAGAGTTTAATGATTTGGCTAGGGACAGGAACGGTAATGAGCCATCGGGATGTGTAAAATATGGGAAAAAAAAATTGACTAACAGAGCGAATGTTGGAGTTTCAAGGAGAGCGTACAGTGAACGTCTTTCAGCTCACCCTTCCGGGAGACGGAAGCTGCTAAGATAGTACGGCTGAGGAGGATAGGGGATATTAAACAGAAGAATGGAGTGCTTGTGTGCTTTAGTTCGACCCGGTAAACATGTCGCCACTTCGCAGTAGAAGTCCCCTGTTCGGCCCTCGACGACTGTCTTCCTGCTAACACGAAATGTAAGAGACACTTCGCTGTCATTCAGAGATCTTACACCATACGAAATTTTGCGCTGTGTAGAAAGGCCTTGCGTACAAATGATTTCTTCGTTTGTGGCTTTGAAGTCGTCGCAACAGATCTTGGTTATTCGCGGCTGTCAAGACGATGAACAAATCAGTTGGACGGAAACTAGACCTTAAAGTCACATATTCTACCTATTTAAATGAATACAATAAAGCTTTGTAGTTGTGTTTATTCCAATTTACGTTTGTTGGTTATAACTCGTTAGTCACGTCCTCGTATATCAAATATAGAACACTGCATGAAGGCGTATGGCACAAGTTTGTCAGAACCTCGTGTTCTTTACGCTGTAGCGCGAGCGAAGGTCACCTTAACAGCCATTCTGCGTCTGTGTGTCGCGTTCCTCTCGACAACGGTATCAGATGTCCCGTTGCTGTGTAACAATGATCTGGGATCATTTTTACTACAAGAAAAACCTCGGACGCAACAATGATTTGGGATAATATTAGTGAACGAATGACCTAAGGCGAGAAAATGCTCTCGGTTAACAACGACCTACGTTATGTGGCGTGAGGAATATTGTTATGTATGTATGTTTGGGTGTGTGCGTGCGTGCAGTAGGCTACCGATTTTGGGATAATGGGTTTTTAGACACGTGTCGGGGGAAATTGTCAGAGAAAAAGCGATGTTAATAAAATGACATACAGACTAGAATTCTGAATCACGAGAGCAATGAAGGTATATTAAATAAATGGAAGTACTAAAAGTAGATGGTGGTATGTTACTAAAATGGGATTTAATTACTTTATCTGGAATACTATAGCGTTCACAGGAAGTTCCAGAATGTCGTATGACTGACACACTAGATCAAAGGACCATTTTTTTTGTTAATCTGACACCTGGAACCATGACCTATGGCAATGACGAAACAAGACGTCCTTAGCGTCTGAATGACGTCAGAGATGACGTGTACAGTATTTAATATTATGTCAAAACTAACACATCACCCCCCCCCCTCACATTAATGATAAAGTGTATTTGTGTTTGGTGGCGTATGTGGGGTGGGTTGGTGTGTGACGTAGTGGGTTCTAGTGCAAGTGAAGTGCATATTGCAGCCGGCCTTGCCCCTTCTCCTTCCCTATTTCTGACCCTCTGCCATCTGTCCCCTCAATAATGCAGCTGGTCTCCTAGAAGTTATAAGTATCAAGCTCTGTTCGCTGCCGGCGTTCAGTCGTAGCCTAGGCACTTCCGAGGAAGCACGTTCAGAGATACGGTTGTTCTCGTTTCCGCCGACGAGAGTCGTGTGCTGCCATCTATCGGTGCTACAGAAGCAATAGTACAGTGCTTTCCTCCAGATAGTGCTGATGGTACTGGTGAACGTTTTTTTTTGTAGATTTGTGGTTGGTGGCCCTGCGGACGCCAAAGAGGACTTCTGTAGTCTGCTGGTAACTCGTTTGCTGTGTAGTTGATACAGCGTGCAGAGCGGCGGGCGGTGAATTCTGTTTTCGAATAAACTGTGCACGCGAGACACAGTAGTTGTTCGGAAAGTGCAGTGAAATGATTTGGGATCACTTGTCAGGTTATTGAGACTTGTATTTATTGTTTGGAACTGTCTCATTCGTCTAATTATTTACTCACACTCTTATGCGGCGAACAAAATGAAACAAGGATTAATTGTCTCTCGGGACTTCATGTTCGAACAAGAATTTTAAGTGTGTGGAATATGGGATAACAATACAGTCAAGTACGTATTATTATTGCTCTGTTAACATCGGTTGTGTGTTATTTGTCTTCGTTCCCTTTGGATTAAGTGTTTTTTCAGTGTTTGTCGTGTTGTGATCGTTTTAGTGTAAACATAATTTTTTTTAATAATTGAAAGGAGGAATTGTTACCCAGTGTAATAGTTGTAAAAGGCCTGTTGGAAGTGTAGTAGTGTTTGTGTGAGGACGGTATTGGAACCCTTATAGGAGTTGGGTCATGGGGGGCCCTGTTTTCAGGTTCGCCCTGAGGTAGTAACTCCTTGGCTCACATCCTCGCCTCCGAAGGCTGCTGCTGCTTCTCCAAGCAGAGGGCCGTGGAGAGGCGACTTGACGGTACAGCACTACGACGACAAAAACAACAATTACTACAACAATCAGTCATGAGGTGGCTTCTGCAGACTCGCGTTCAGGGCGCTTTTGTCGTGGTCCTTGCTGCCCTGCATCAGGTAAGGTCCTTGTGTTGTTGCATGAAACTAAATTTACAACTGGAATAACAAGCGGACGCGAACGATGACGACATGAAAATCGGTACTTAAATAATGAAAGCAGTGAAGTAATTCGTTGACCATTTTGTGTCGTACCCAGATTGGTAAAATTTGTCAACAATTTTGCCCCATTCGAAAGCAACATCGGAAAATACGTGTCTTTCCTTGTCGTTTTCGTAGATGTGATATTTTAATTTATGGAAGTTAAATTTTATTTGTACAAGTTAGTTGTGTGATGGAATTGATTCGGTAATCGCCACAAAACAACGTAACCTACAAAATTTTTAGTTTCAACTTTCAGTACCGGTACGTATCATGTTGGCTAAGGAAGAGTTTCCAGTACAATTTCAATTGTTGTGTTTTTGAAAGTTGTTTTATCTGTGAAGCTAAACCGGTCATTGTTACATAAACATCGGTTGTTAAAACAGATGTAGAATATTATATTTAAGAAGGACAGATGGTCTCCCATAAGACTGCACTGTGCACAAACCGCTAAGTTAGAAGTGTTGCCAAGAACGTTGTAGAAGCATGCTTTGAGTAGTAACATTATGTTAATCAGATTCTTAGCGTTAGGTGATCTTAGCAGTAACAAGTTTGTAACGGAAGTTACACTCAATCATCGCAATTATTATAATACATTCAGAAGGAAATAATTCACTATACTCTTTCACCCAGCCCCATTATACGTTAATTACTAATAAAACTGAACTCTTGTTACAAAGCAAAACTTCGGCTATTGGGAATGAGCCGCGTGGAATGTTGAAAGTTTTCCAAGATTTCGGCAAACATAACAGTTGCCATCTTCAGGGTGAATGACTTCTGTTACGACCATTTTATTTAGTAACGTAATTATTTCTGAAGCGAATTCAGTTTTAACGAAATGCATGTAATTTAAATAACAATAACAGAAAAATAGTAATGTTTGAAATTGTTTAGGTACTAAATTGTGCCGTTGTTATGACGATAAATGTTGGTAGTTTTAGCGATAAAACAGCCTTCAGCTGTGGACCATTTGAGATCCGAAGAAGTGGTTATTCGAATACAAGTTTTTATTCAATGAAACGTTGCGGACAGACCAAAGTTAAATTAATTCAATTTGTTTTGAGATGCGTGTTTCCTTTTCTGCATGAAGGAAGTTTGGCGTCTTAAGACTTTTCCTTGTAGAATCCACGTTGTCCTCTTTGTGTTTAGTAGGAAGTTTAACTTTTGCTGGAAAGGAAACGAAGACTAGTTTTTGTTCTTGAGCATCCTGTAAACTGTTTTCGGATGCCCCCCCCCCCTTTTTTTCATTACTATTATCGTTAAATGTGCGTGTTCAGAGTAATAACCACCGATCACTTGTGTGTGTAGAAACGTGTCTTCGTAGAACGATGTTACAAGACGTGGCCTTGTCGATATTTCTAGAACTTTCGATGTCTTTTAAAAATGAAGGTAGGCCATCCATTGTTTCATTCCGTAATTAAATACTTTTCGAGATGAAGTGTAACGGTTTTTTGCGTGTTTTCGTGTTCTCTGCGCGGTCCGGGCGTAATAAAGGTTCCATGGGCCAGTGTTGCATTAAGGCTATTTTATATGACATTAAACGGACGTTTCAAACACAGACCTGATCCCAATCAAATCGCATGTTTTATATGTGGTAGACGGACTGTCGCAGGTGTTCGTTTGGTTATTTTACGACTCTATATCGGCTACTGAAGTTACGTAACGACTGTTAGATGGTGGCAGGAACAGACAGTGATGTTTTGTGAGAAACCGTTGAGTAATTTGCTCGTAGAAATTTAGAAAAATACAAAAAAAGTGTAAGTGAAGAATACATTAAGACTTCCAACAGCACCGTATAAATGTTTTGAAATTTTGTGTCTTGGATTTCACGTAAGTGCCATTTGAAAAATTGATGTACTGATTGTTGAAGTAAGTAAGGACCGAGAGTCGCATTGAACTTTATTTAATTGTTATTTATAGGCATGTACACATTTAAAATGAAAAATTTTATTCGACGAGTTTTCCGTCGCGATAAATTCTACTGCCATTTCAGTTGACAGTACTCATGTACCCTCAGTCGTTGATACAGTGTCGTAAAATAACAAGGCCTAATCGTTTTAATCGGGAACTCGATCGTAAATGAAGATAAGTTTGTGGTACAATTTTACATTGACTCTTACGTGCTGTGATTAGTGAAGTCGTCACGCTATGTGAACAAACACATCGCTATAAATATTGCTACATTGTAAGACCAGTGGCGTGTGTTTGTTTCCTGTTAACCTGCGTTACGTGTTGTCTAGGACTGTCCTTATCTTGCGAGACCGCGGTATTAATTTCAAACTGTGCGCCAGGGGTTCACAACCCGCTACCCGCATTTCAGCGGCCCGCATGTGATTTTGTAATAGACCGACCACTTCACGAAAAATAGCGATGTAAGTAAACACTTTTTTTTTGTTTCCGACGATATCAGTCGTTGTTTTGGCGTTCCGAACAACAAATCAAGAACTATGACTCCAAACACGGATGAAGATTTGTAAGGGAAACATAAATTATGCCTGCGATTGAAAGATTAACGTACTCTTAAAACCCTTTATTGTGAGGTTTCATAACAAAGTATAACAACAATGGATTTGTGTCTACGATAAGTTAACTTGAAGGCCAAAGCTACTAGCAGCAAGATCACAAAAATTGTGTTTATTTTCCTGGAATCCACCGTCTATTGTTGTGGTTTTGAGTTTGAAGGCTCTGGTATTAACGTTCTAGAGGTGTTCCTTATCTGGCACATGACAGTGTTGTCGCCTGTCTTTTTAAACAAGCAATTATGGTAATGCAGGAAACCGGCTTATATAAAAGGAAAAGTAGTTCAAACCTAAGCATTATGATAGGTTAGTTATATTCTAACGTATTGTTACTTTATTTTGATTCGGATGTTTAACTTGCCAGACAAAGGAAAAAGTGTTTTGTGAGGATTGGTTCGTTGTAGTAGGGGGTCTCTGGTTCAGATCCACGTAGGGACATGGCAAGGTTCTAGTTCTTCAGTACATAGATATCTTATATGACGCCCCAATCACAGTCGTAGGATTTTGTGAGATTTCAAGTTTCTCAACCTGCGTATGAGAATATGGAAGAAAATTAGTCCGTATTTCCTGTTTATACAATATGAATGGAAAATAGAATTATTTTCAATTTATATTCAAGCCAGTGACAGGTTTCACGAAAGTGTCAACATGTACCCTGCTTTAGTAAACTCGATTCTTAGATGCGTCCTTTGCGTGCTTTGTTGGCTTTGCAGACTGAAAACCTGTTATTGCCAAGGAATTTGCAAGAACATTTTTAGAGTCAAACAATGAGCTCTCCTTATGTTTTCTTAAACGTTCACTGTGCTCAAAAATGTTTATAATGAGAGTTTTGCATTTTAAAGAAGTTCGTATTCTCTGTCCAGCGGTTTTATTGTGTTTTAATCTGAGTTCCATAACCTGTACGAATGAAAATTAAATTTCTATTGAGGTTTTTAAAAGCGTGTTAATTTTTTTTAAATATTATAGATTATGTTACCTTTGTAACAGACATTTCACATGTAATGTGTTGTGTGTGGTATATGATTTATTATATATACATCAGTTCATTTTGAAAATAAGTTTATTTACCATAGTATTTATTTTGTATGACGGTGTTACAAAATTTTGCGCGCAATTTGTGATATTAAATACACTGCCAAAGCAGAGATCTTTTATAGTGATCCGTACTGTAATAACGAAGTTCGCTTGTTCTTAAACACGTTTCTCTGGTGATAGGAAACAGCTGATTTTTTTTTTAAGTCGCGGTTTTAAGTTTTTCAGTTGCTTTTAATACCTGCCGCTAGTAGTTCGATGTGAAACATTTAGCCGTCACCCAGTAGTTAATTTTCGTGGTGAGGTATGAAGTTATGAATTGTTTTAAATTGGACATTATATTTGTATACGTTTATCCGATGATTCTCGGTCGTTTGTAGTATGAATTTAACTCCATTTTGACAGGGAAGCTTGTATGCATCAGTGTCTGTCTTCGAGACGGAATTTGGTCAATATCTTTCATCAGTGTAATTTAACGTGCTGAAATAATAACAAACAACCGAAATATTAAACTGATCTTCACTTGTAACAAGATTAGGGGTGCGAAATGAATGGAACTTTACCTTAATCCCCCCCCCCCCCATACTCCTGAGTTCGATTTGTATTTACAGTCATCATTATCATTGTATCTTCGTACCATCTTGAAGGGTATCGATCCACGAACCAAAGTCTAATCTTGCCGTCTCGTTGTTTATAATTATTATGGATTTTGCTTATTATTGTTATTTTCCCCGCAGGTCTGTTGTTCGGGTGTGTTCGAGCTGAGACTGAAGTCATTTATTAACGACTATGGTAAGGACAGCGTTGGTCAGTGCTGTAGTGGGACTCGATCATCGGACTCTGGAGCGTGTTCCGGACCTTGTCGTACGAGGTTTCGGGTTTGTCTCAAGCACTACCAGGCCAACATCGATACCACTTCGCCCTGCACTTTCGGAGACGTGATCACTCCTGTTCTTGGGGAAAACAATGTTCGTCTCGTGGGAACGGCCCAGCGCGATGGTTTCGCGAACCCCATCAGATTCCCGTTCGACTTTACCTGGCCGGTAAGTACCAGATGTTTTCTGTACCGATAGTAGCGTAATATGACAGCATGTGTAGTTAGAACTTTACAGTAGAATTTAACCTATTGCATGGTGCCATACTTTTTAATGACGTGGGAATCGAAAAGAATAGTTTATCACAAAAAATTGTTTTCCTAGGTGCAGTATGAAAGTCTCGTATGTAAAATTTTAATTTTTAAAAGAGCTATAGAAATAATTCATATGTTAGCAGTCATTATAATGACTCAGGACTGAATGACCGGGGATCGAAACCCGGCACATTGTCTGAGGTCCTTTCTTTCAAATGCGATCCGTGTTACGTTCATACTTCGACATTCCGTGGTGCTCGGTGTACAGTTTTGACGACTAAACTGATCTCAAAAATTCCTGTCTGTGGGGTGAGTCCCAAAACAGGACGACAAAAGCTGACGGGGGTAAAAATGATGGAAAGGCATGTAAATCTCTGATCATTGAGGATCTACGTAACAATTATTAAAAAGCGAACAAAAAAATTACATTTTTAATCACTTCGGAATCCTTTCTCGGAATAACAAAAATAAAAGTTGTTAGACAAGGCGACTGAAACCATTTTGTAGTCTTCAGCGTAGTTGTGTGTGTGTTTTTTGTTGGTGGATTTTTTTTTTTATTTTCGTCTTAAAAGAATTTAATCTGTTTGCACATCATGTTAGTAATTGTGTGAGTTTCTTTGTGAAAAATAAAGAAAGACGGGTGATGGTGAAGGATTGAGGTATAGACCTGGAAAAAATGTGTTCGAGAATCTTTTTCTTGACTTCTAAAAGCCTTTGGAGATGAGGTTATGGTTGACAGTACGATCAGAGCGCCGCGTAGGGAACAATCCAGAAAATAACTTTGAAACAAAAGCATTGCAAAAAGCGAGTTTTTTTTAAATTTTTTTTGTATTTTAGTTGGGCCCGTGCCCTTAATTTTCCACTGATTTTTTACACCGTCTCTTAAGTACATTCGTCTTTTTTTTTCAAAATGTCTATCGCCATGACCAACATTCGTTCTGAACGCGAAATGTCCAGGAAATTATTTGAGTCTGTTTAAGTCGGAAGGCACAGGAAGATGCCACTTTATTCTCATAGTAGTTACAATTCGTAATTATCCAAACATTAATTATTTGTCTCTGTATAACTTGACTAACAGTACAACTATGCTAATTAACTCACACATAATTAATTAATAGTTGAGTACGGAAAGGCAAAAGGTTAACAACGTTCAAGAATATTGAGGAACTTTGAGCTGGGGTTCTTTTGATGTCTTATCTGCGTGACGACGTTGTTTCAGCACAGAAGATAAGGATTTTATCGTGAATGATGAATAGGTAGGATTTTAAGAAGCGTGAGAAAGGAAATCAAAGTGTCAGGTACTTTTTTTTTAATACATTCGATTACATGCATTCAGACTCAACAGCTGCCCTAACCTCTGTAGGTTTTTAGAGAAACTGCGTGGGTGTTGGTTTTCATACGAATGATCGAATGAATTAGCTCAGAATAACTTCTAGTAGTGGGCCTTTTTTATGCTGGTGAAGTTTCTCGTTCAGAAAATGTCTTGGAACACTTTTAGTGACCATTAACTGCTCAGGAGAGCCTCTGTATTACTTATTAAGTCGTTTATATAAGACGTTCCTGTTTTTAAAACTTTTTTACTTTCAATTAAGTTTATAATATGCCCTTAATCTCTCACAGTTCAGTCGTAATCCTTTATGACACCGTCTTAACAGTCGGTAAGTCTGAATTTTGTGTTTATGGATTTTGTTTGTTTTCGAATGTCATCAGGTATTATTTATCGAAACATAATTAACCAATAATCGAGACGCGTTGTGTTCTCCACCCAGTTATCATTCGCATAAAATATAACGATGATTTTCTGCCATTTCTTATCAGAGAACAAAATTCTATTCCATTGTTTAGACTGATTTCACATGTTTATATCCATGCAGCCAGGGTATCAAGAAGGCTAATCTATACGTTGGTTGCTGTTCGTAAGATGAGAATATGGGGCCGTATATGTGGCGGCACAGACCTTGCTTATTTATTCAGATAGCAGTGCACGAAAATCATACAAACACTGAATTGCCTGGTCATTTTATGAAACAATTTAACCGCAAAGTACAGCTTTGACAAGCGAAAGATTCAATTCGTTTATTAAAATTTTTGCCAACAACGAGGAGCCAGTGATAAACAAAAAGAGAAACAAATAAGAAAACGTAGTATAAGTAAAAGGAGTAACTAATGTGATAAGATAACGTGGTGGTTGTCAGTACCGTGTTTACGCCCACGTGTATCCGAATTCGATTTTTAAACGCCCCACCCCCCACCCCCACATTAAGCACGTAACACTTGCCCTGCATTTAATACCGTGTTTTGACAGCAGATGGCAGACAGGACGGCTCTTTTGTTGTACCTGTATTTTTGAAAGTTTTATTCCTTTTGAATATTTTGGTTGTCACATATGGCATGCGTTGGTTCAGGTTTTATGGGGTTGGTTGTACATCTGGAAGTCAAGGGGTGAGGGGAAAATGGTACTTGTACAGGCGCGCCTGAGGAAATACTGTCACACCTGACTCATAGTTAAGACACGTTTATTTAGTGATTATGAACTGTTGAAAATCTTGTGACGTTTGGTAAAATAGGCGTCATTAAATAGCTTGAGATATTTCACATATCGAGTTAAAGTCGTGCTTTACGAAAAGATAGTAATTTTGAACCCCACCCAAGTACTATGACATGAAATCTAGTGTTAAAATTAAGAATGCGTGGAGCCTTATCCCACTTCCGCGACACTTTTTCACGTCAACTTACTAATTGATTATATAAGAATGGTTGGAATCAGCGGGGTGAGGTATCCACTTGCTTTTGCACTGTCAGTACAGCTGTCCATGTTCGCTATCAAGTACCGACAGCCACCCAGTTGATTATTTCAAATTCCGAAGATACTTGTCAGTCTGAATACTAAGTCTTCTGTGGATGCTGTGGGAGAGATCAAATGGACGTGATCTGAGCACAAAACTGGACCATAGTATGAAATGAATTTCACTGGGCCACCGTTAAAATAGTTCTGCCTGCGTTATAGTAAAATTTATTAGTACTGACCTGTATCCTCAGTGACACTGTTCAGACGTATTTTAAACTACAGATTAGAAGACAAGATTTTTTTTTTGTCCTGAAACCAGTTTTTGTTGGCTTACTGAACACGTACCGACCCACTCAACTGCATGGCGAATCCAGTATCTCTAAATTTGTATTCGACAGGTTACCTCTTCGAATCTCGTCTCAGTTAACCCGCTGCCCTGACTGCGTTTTTCGCATTTCCGAAGTCTCCAGTCGATACAG